ATTAGGTTGGAGGCCGTTGCTATTGGGTTGGAGGCCATTGCTATTGGGTGTGAGGCCATTTCTTTTAGTTTGGCATTTTTTTTCGGCATTTCATACGCAAAGAGCTCAGTGGCGTCTTAGCGCTATCCTGTCATGACAAAATGCCATGGCTTCCGTCGGAAGTCTTGGTGATCCTGGGATCAAGTGCCTAATCAGCAAAAAGTGCAAGCATCTGATCTATTGCCGGCACCGCTGGAGTGTTTTCAAAATTTACCATCAACCTGCACAGATCGCTCCTACGAATGGCCCAAATCATCATCACCTGAGTTTCAAAACAACCAGGGAGCTTGGGAGCTGAAATGCAGCGCGTGTCATCATCACTCAGCAGCCACTCAGTAGAGGTCGGATCGGCAAGGCACTTCAAGGCAGCTCGGTAGTGCCCAGCTCCAGGGAGCCCCAAGTGTGCCAGAGCTGCTGTGGGAACAAACTCATGGTACTCAACCTGGATTCCATCACCTGAAAAGGAAGGGATCCTGAACTCAGCATCGATCAACACTCTGGGCATGAGCTTCTGACCATGAACGGTGCCTGCCAAAGGTCGGAGTCGGTCCAAGTGTATGCAGATCATGGAGGGAAGGTGGGAAAAAGCCGTGAGCATTCCTGACTCGGTGTGCCAATTCTCAACAAGGTGGCACAGTGGTTGGATAGGTTCAGGCATGACTCGGAGGTGCAGCAAAATAGATCCAAGAGCATGCGCATGTCTTTTTACAGCACCAGTGGCTCGCTCAAACCGTCTTTCCCACATGCTATGAACAGCAGCTGAGTCCATCTTGGACATGAGAAAAGTGGTAGAGGCATCCACATTCCGCTGGCGGATGAACACAAAATCAATCCTGGAGACAGCGCCAATTGGATTGTGGGAAGTAGGCCCAAGGCGTGCATCCCAACAATTCAAAGCAACCAGGCCGTGAGTGATGGCGAGTTGATTGAACAAGGCCCGATCTCTGTGCTGGGTCCCCAAGACACGACGGTCACCGTGGGTGAAGACATTGGTGCCCGTGGTGGGGTACCCGGCGGTGAGGCAGCAATTGAAGTCACCGGCCAAAATCAAACCATGCCTTGTGGCCAAGGAGTGCAGTTCAGCGTCAAGCGCAGCCCAAAGGGTGGCACGAGCTCCCAAGTCACCACCAGTATGGCCAACATGTTGATAGCAGGCAAGAATGTCCAGGTACCTCGGTGCCAAATGTAGACGAACATGGACGAGCCTGCCAGGAATAATGATCCGATAGCTCATCAGGTCCCCTTTGCAGAGGAGCTTGGAGATAACAATCAAAATGCCAGCGCCCTTACCCTTGTCAGATCCACTATGGACAAAAGCCATTTGTCACTTTCCCAGGTCGAATCAAAGGTCCAGCGGGTTTCCGGGAGGATGTACAGCATTCGGCCCATGACAAAAACTCATGAAGGCGGTGACTAGACAAACCACCAGGATTCCAGACCATGGTGAAAATTCGATGTTGAGGAACATGCACCTTATTGGAGGCCAGTGGTCCAGTTTGACGAGGTCCCATGCGGCCCAGGGGTTGAACAGGTTTCGGAGGAAGTGCTTTGTCAAGAAGCGGTGCAGGAACGTCGGCACGATTCAAACACTGTCCTCTATACCAACAAAATCCGTGGGTGGCAATACGTCGAACAGCTCTTCGATAACTTCTCTTGACAACTCCAGCTTTAGCGATCCTCAGGTCACTCTTTCTAAGGCCGTAGCCCACTGGTGGATTCATGCCATGATCTTTCATGGAGTCCGAGTAGAGGCGAAGCCAGCTCCACTTAGACTCCATTCCCGTCCTGCCCATGGCAGCAGGACAACCCTCGCTGCTATGCCAGCCCAGGTGCAAACCAAGGAGTAGGGTCCTCAACGGACCAAACAAGGGCATGACAGCCTGGATTTGGGACCAGGTTCCAGCCAAAACCGAAGACCTTCACCACCACGTGGCAAAGGACGAATGCACGCTCATGTGCTTTCGGGCCGGATGCAGCTTTTCTTTTAGTTTGGAGGCCATCGCTACTAGGTTGGAGGCTATTAGGTTGGAGGCCACTACAATTGGGTTGGAGGCCATTTCTTCTAGGTTGGAGGCCATTGCTAATAGGTTGGAGGCCATTGCTATTAGGTTGGAGGTTATCTTTTCTAGGTTGGAGGCCATTGCTATTAGGTTGGAGGCCATTGCTATTGGGTTGGAGGCCATTGCTATTGGGTGTGAGGCCATTTCTTCTAGGTTGGAGGCCATCGCTACTAGGTTTGAGGCCATCGCTATTAGGTTGGAGGGCTGTGGGGTTGCTATTAGGTTGGAGGTCGTTGCTATTAGGTTGGAGGCCATCGCTATTTGTTATGAGATGCTTCTTTCTTTGTCTCCGCACGTGATCGCCCGATGATGACGACAGCATGCGCTGGGTGATCCTTCCCTTGTCGTCGTTTGCTTTCTCGCATAAGGCGACAGCATGTTTCCGAAAACGCTCGCACAGATGATTGCTCGCGCTGCGCAGATGATTTTATGAACGCTTTTGGACATGCACGGAGATGATGTGTTTCTAAAGTGCGTGCTTCCTTTGGTCAACATGCGCAGGCGCACGGCTAAATATACACCTGGGCATGCTTTTGACAAGACAGAGCTTGACAGTGGAAATTCAATGTCATGTTCCTGAGAAGGGATTCTGATATTGGCGAAGTATGCAGATGAATCTCTGAAAATCACACCAGTGTGTTTTCGAAATGAACAAATTATGGAACATATCACGGCGTACTTCTGAAAACGCGACGTGTATCCTCGAAATGCGCAGCTTTGGAAAATACATGACACTGTCGAACTGGTAGGTTCTTGACAGTTGACTCTACGCGTGCACCATCATGATTCTCTAAAACCATAATGTACTCCGATGTATTCTTCTCAATATATAGCACACGTTTTAAAGAAAACATACAAGTGCGTTTTGACATCAACCTCATGCTGTTTGATTTTGAAAAGGTACACTTGAAGAAAAACAGAGTCATACTTTCGGAAGTGCAACTTTATGTTTCTTTGCTGGTGCGTGTCATGGCTGCTGAAAGCAAACCAGCTAAACAAATGTTTTTTCGTGTCGATGCTGGTGTATTTTTCAACATGCAGTTTTCTTTGCGACGGTTGGCAAGGTAGCGTCCATTTGCGGGCGAGAACAGCTACGTTTTATGTTTAACAAAAGAACGATGTCTTGGTGTTGAGTTTCAATTAATGTCGAGTCCTTGGTTAACCATCGTTTTCAGTCGAAATCCACATTCCAGGATGATGGACCATGCTTACACTTTGTCCTGCCTGGGTGGAGAGCTATTGATTGCCAAGCAGACCTCCAAGGTGAGTTCGGTCAGTCTCCAATCCAGCGATGCACTTGTTACTAGTAGCTTCTTGTTCCTAGTAGTACGGCC